ACCAACATTGAGCTCAATCATATCCATTCCTGTGAAAGATAACAAATATCTGTCAACTGAAAAAATATTTGGTATTATGGAAAATAATTTGTCCGTTGACCAAGTTTTGATATTTCTCACAGTAATCAGATAANNGATCTACTTTCCCCCGGTTTTTTTTCCCCGGAATTTGCGGGGTCTCGACAAACGAACGAAGAAGTTGAGACTCCGCCCTGATTTCCTCGGTGGAGTCTCAAACTCCCGCCTCTACAGTAATCCCACTTCCCATACACATCAAACTAAACGCGCGGAAATTCAAAATCGAGATAATCGAGACTAGTACGAAAGCATTGCGCAATGACTGAGAGCTAACAAAAACGTCGAGACAACTCTGTCAATTCCGGACTCAGGGAAATCGTCTCAATTAGCTCTCATTAGAAAAACCACGGCTAATTAGGTGATTTGCACATCTAACTAGGAATGCCATATCTAAATAGATTGTAGTAGCAAAATTATAAAATAATCACATATAATATGGATCTAGTTAGATCCGGTACGGACAGTCGATATTTGCGAATCTAGATGTTTAAATATATTTGTTTTTTTCTAATGCGCAAATGAGCGAACCTATTCAACGTCTACGATCAGAAAAATTCGACGAATGTTTGGGATTCGGAGCTGTCTGGAGCGAAGATATCGACTTGTCATAGCGATATTTGGAAGGATCTCTATAATTCAAAAAACTGCCAGCAAAGACATGACGACCTCAAAATTCGACATATAGGCGGAAGCGAAGATTTCTACAAATTTAACAGGATAATTTGATAATTCCTCATTTGTCATTCTTAAATCTTTTTCTTAGTCCCCTCATTTGTTGTATTTTGCTTGTTTTTGTTCAATAAACCTTTTTATTAATCAAAAATTTTTTCAAAAATCAATAAACTTTTAAAAAACAAGCAAATCTAATGAGGAAGCATCCTAATCTAACTAGACGACATGCGAATCTACCTAGGCGATATGCGAATCTAGCTAGCCGGCTTGCTGATCTAAAGCGGTTGCGTTAGAACATAGAATTAGCTAGTTTATATTTGGTTAACTTTTAATTAGACGTGAAGCGACTTCCCTGAGGAGCTTAAAAGCATACAACAGCAGATAAACTGTTTTGTTGAACAAGTATTTGTCATCAGAAATTGCACTATTCACCATGCGGCATATCATGGAAGTTCGAGAAAAAAAAATGCATACCGCAAAACGGCTTTATTATGGGGCTATATTTCTTTACAAACTGGGACAATGTGATTGAAACAGAGTGGGGATTTACAAGAGAACATGCATTAAAAGGGAATATACTATATGTACTATGTACATACGTACAGAGACACCAGTTTCAAAAAACGTGACGAAATTATCTTAGATCTGAGCATCGATCGCCTGAGCTCCGAGTTCGGCATCTCCAAGAGCGGAACCGCAACGGTCAAGTTTGGAGAGAGCGGCTTCTTCATCGATGATTTTTGCGCATGACTTCGAATCCGGAGAGCCAGCAGCCGAGTTTGAAGATTCGGTGAGAGCCGAAGAATCAGCAACATCGCCTGCTCCTTTGTGAGCTTTTGGCTTGCGAGTTCTGTTCTTGCGTTGCTTTCTTGGTTTCTTCTTCTCTTTTTCTTCCTCGGTGTTGGGCTTTGCTTCCTTGGTCTTGGCATCGGTATTGCCTGACTCCTCGCCGTCGACCGACCGTCTTGGCTTGCGGTTCTTGCGGAAGCGAGAGAGCAGCTTGTGGCGGTATCTGAAAACAGTTATAGAAGACTGGCATATTCCAATATCGAACTAACCTCGAACCTACAACGTTTCCGCCGTCTGGTCCGGTGACGTTAGCGGCTTCCGGTCCATTCTTTCCATCGACCAAATCAAAGAGAACCTCCTCTTCGTCTCCAAGTGTGCGAAGGTAGAACTTCTCAGTAAGCGATTTGGCAATGGCGGTTTGGTGAACGAAGACGTCCTTCTCTCCGTCGTTGCGAGAAATGAATCCGTAACGACGAAGAACCGAGTACCACTTGACTTTTCCTTGAAGTCCAGTGGAGAGCACACGCTTCGTTTTCTGCTCCTCCTCCCAAAGACGGATGCGTTCGGCAGTTGGAATGCGCTGTAAGGAAAGTGTGAGATAATCGAAAGATGTCATTCAAAGCTTACCGGCTTGCGTGGCGATTTCTCTTCGTCGTTGCTCGACGATCTCTTCTTACCAATTGTGAGGTCTTCAAGCGCGTCTTTGACGACTTCAACGTTGGCGGCGTCCGACATGACTTTGCGCGTAATAAGCTGAAAAGGAAAATGTTGAACGGTTACGAATGGAAACACAAGATTCTCAACATGATACGATATATAAATATAACAATGGAACTGGTGAGGGAACTAAAAAAAATCCGAAAACAAAGAAAAAAACCAGAATAGGAAACAGATTTTAGGGGAGAATAGGGAGGAGAAAAAAAAAGTTTTCGAGCTTGCAGATCGAGCTACAGTAGTATTGGTGTCGTGCACATCTAACTTGCCGCGGGCGATTTGAAAAGGGATTTTACGGGATTCTTACGATGAGCTCTTTTTTTCTCCTTTTTTAATCAACTATCTTCTAAAAAGTTTTTAAACTCTTGATTTTTTCAGATAAAATGGAAGAAAAAAAGCTTTCTGATATTTTTGCAAAGAAGCATATGCAATTGAAGGCTGCGTGGTTGAAAACCTGTATAGAATTTTTGAAAAGAACAGTGAATTCTGAAATTCAGAGTTCCGATGCGATTTGCGACCAAGTAATGCTGCAATTTCTATATTCAAATCTGTCCGATTCGTTGGTTCCTGTAATGAAAATTCCAGATCATGCTGCGAAAGTTATACTAGTTAAAAAGATGGTGTTTCAGGTGAGTCTTTTTTAAAAGTTTCTCGGACTTTTGCTTTAATTCCAGGTTGTTACTTACGTGAATATCTCCGTTTCTCTGTTCGAACAACTGTCAGAGTGCACTCGACACAACGATGATTTATCTTGGTTTCATGGAGGAGCGGAATTGCATGACGACAGAAATCTTGAGAAGGATCACACATGCGATAAAAATAACAACATGCGAGTGATTCCTAAGAAGCGTGGAATGCTGAAACTAGAGATAACAGATGGCCAGAACAAATTGGAAGCTGTGGAACTAGAAGACGTTTTCGACGAATCCTTACTTGTGCCTGGAGTGAAAATTCTGCTGACAGGCAGTGTGAAGTGTCGACGTGGCATTCTTCTACTCGAAAAATCGAATTGTGATCTGTTAGGTGGAAGGGTAGATTCGTTGAAAATTGATAAGGTGACACAGCTATCAGAAGCGCTGAACATTGATCTGGATTCGGAGAAAAAGCGAAGAAAGTATGAAACATGTTGATTAAGATTTCTGATTTTACTATTTAATTTCAGGGATTCATTGGAAAAAGTAGCATCTGCAGTGTCAGATAGTCGTAAGAAACAAGATTCATTCGACAACAGAAAGAATAATAACTCTTTGAATCAGTCAACAATGTCACCATTTTTAGTGAAAACAAATAGAAAGACTGGAGAGGTTACGGTAAGCGAACTGGAATTTTAAAAGGACATATATGATTTACAGAATCCACCGCCTCGTGCTGCTGTTCTTATCAATCATCCTCAAAGTCCGGAACCAGCAGAAAATCGGAACTTTTCAATTGAAGAGCAACCACGCTCTCCTACCCCAGAACCACCAGTTCGAGCATATATTGATCCTATCGATGTTGAGTATCCACAACGGAATCCTCCTCCGATGAAAAGATTATCGGTGTTAAGCATAAAGGAACCTATCGGTTTTCCCGTTAAAAAGCCGGATCCCCCAAAGAAAAAGGACACTAAAAAACTCGAATCCAATAGAACTATCGATGAGTGGGCGTTTGATTATTTCAACAAAACGCTGTCACCGAAAATTTCGAATCCCCGTCAGTTACTGAGAATTGAGAAAAAGCAGGAAGCACCAAAGAAACAGCTTCCTGGACAACTTCTCAGAGCTTCGTCAAATTCAATGCAGGAGCAATTGAACTTGTGCAGACCTACTCTAGGTAGTCCCAGCATGCCAGATGATAAAAGTAAAGTTTTTATTACATGCTAGCCTGAAAAATATATTTTTCCAGGAAAAGAGATTTCAAAATGGGTCTGGGATGAACGGAAGGGATCAGAAGAAGAAGATGCGCCAGCTATTCCAAAAAAAGATGACTCGGTGGTGGAAATTCCGAGGTGTTTTATGAGAGAGGTATGCAGAAGTGGCAATGCAGATATCTTTTCATCTTTCCAGGCTCAACGTCATATCGACGATCCCAAAGTTGATCGGAAACCTATGTTTCTTCGTACACTTCATGGACCACGGAAAGGTGTTGACGTCTTCAGAAAGAAAGAGAGCTATTTAGACAAAGCGAACATTACAGAACATTTTCCAATTATTAAGGTTTGAGCAATTTCACGATGATCTTTTAGAAAACGTCTTTCAGGGTACGATTTCGAAACCTATTCCAACAAAATGCCCAAAGCCATTCGAGATCGTTGACGAAACAGTCCCAGCTTTTGTTGAAGAAGAAGAGAGTGATGAAGAAATGAATGATATCATTTCGGTCATTCCACAACCGCCAATCGTTTTTCACCAAGTCGAAGATGACGACGTGGAGAAAAGCGGTTATTCTGATGTGGAAGATGATGTTGAAGACTCGATAAGTTCGTTAAAAAAACTAAATTGGTTTTGCAAAATTAGCGTTTTAATTTCAGTGGAGTGCACAATTGAAAAGGAAGGGCGGATGGAATTAGAGAAATGGGGACTGAGAGGTCGAAAACGGATGCAAGAGGAGGAGATTAGGGATGGTGACTATCCAATCAATAATCGACAGGAAATGAGGAATTACAGTAATCTCATGCCTCCGTCCCCAAAAGTTCCTTCGTTCCATCCGTTGCTGACTCAAACTCAAGAACTTGTTGGTTTCCAACCCAGCAGTAGTTACCACTATCTACCCAATACTACCTCCCAAAACAGCTGGAACTTTGCAACCGAACCACTTCAGCAAATCACACCACCGCCGAATATACGTCATCCCATGATAATGAAAGATGATCAAAGAGTGAAAAAGGAACCAGAAGAACGACTGAGCATTGCAGTCAGTCAAAAGAACGAGGAGATCAAAAATAAGCAATCTGCAAATGTGCAGATTTACAAAGCACCGTTTGCGAAACGACTGGCTAGCTCTGACTCCTCTACCATAAACACAAATCAATTGTACCAACGGATGTCTGATTTACAAATTGTTCCGCTTTCAGATGCACTGGTAAACCGAAAGTTTTGGATGATGTCGAAAATAATTGTTGTAATGGTGAGAGCCTGTTCATTGTGATTTTGAAATCAATGGTTTTTTTTTCAGCCCACGATATGTCATCAAGTTCATGAGTTGAGATCGGATGGTGTGGATTGGTTGTTACAGATAACCGTATCCGATACTTCAGCGGCTAGTATAAAATGCCGCGTGGCTACAGACCTGCTAAATCGTTTGTTTGGGTTCAATGTTCAGCAATGCAAGGTGAATAGTCGTATTGTCTCAAAACATCATTTTTTTTTTTTCAGAACCTGTTCAATTCACATCAAGTCGAAGAACTTCGTGCGAAAAAGGCGGAAGCCGAGAGAAAGTTGGTCGGATTCAAACGATTAGATCTTCTCATGTGGATAGAAGTGTCACCTGAACATGAGAAGCTTCCACTCATCGTAGATGTAAAAACGATTTCCGATGCTCTCAACATCTTATAGATTATATTTATTGTTCGCTTACTATGTACCATTGTGTTTGTATTTTTTTACTGTTTCCTTCTTTTTTAATGCATTTACTTTTTTGAATAAACGAATTCTAGTTTATGTTCAACACCTCATAAACCCAGAAATTAATTAAAATTTCAAGATAGGTGTCTTCCGGATTCGGGATACGAGAAAATTAGTTTCATTCCGGATTCTGGATTCTGTAAAAATTTTATTTGTCCAGATTCCTGATTTCGTTTCTCAAATAAGTCATTCCCGACATCTCTGCTTTATATGTTTAGGTTATATTATTAGGTTGGCGGGAAAGTCTTTGTCACTCTGTTTGTTTAATCACTGTTCTCGTATATGGAGGCTGTGTATGATATCGACTCTAGTGAATAACAAGGTGATAAGAACCTTCCATATAAACAAGTCCCCATCTCCTTCCCTGCTCCTCATCTGTAATTGAAACGATATGTTTGTTCCCACTGCTATTCACATCAGACATGTTTTGATTTACCTCTTCCTATCTCACACCACGATGAAGGATTCGGAAACTTTCTTGAAGAATGTGTACAACACACATGCCCCTCACTACAATACTATTCGCAATTGGTTCCATCGTTTCGAAAAAGATGACTTCTCGCTCGATGAAAAGGATCGCTCTGGGTGACCCCGTGAGTTGGATTTGGACAAGCTGAAGCACGCATTGCAATCGGATCCATTTCAATCTAGCCGTGAACTAGCTGTCACATTCGGAGTTCACCATAGCACAGTCCTTGAAGGTTTGAAGTCTCTTGGAATGAGAAAACTTTTTGGTCGATTCATACCTCATCACCTGACTCAAGCCAACCTTGACCGCCGAGTCGACGATTCGATTACTCTTCTCACTCTCCACGCGGGCGATCGATGGCTGGACCGGCTAATAACCGGAGATGAGAAGTGGGTCTTCTACGATAATCACCACAGGAAATCCCAGTGGGTTGGAGAAGGAGAGAGCCCACAGGATGTCCCCAAACCCGACCTTCATCCGAAAAAAGTTATGCTCTCTGTGTGGTGGGGAGTGGACGGCCCCATCTACTGGGAACTTCTGCCCGAGGGCAAAACAATAACTGGAGACCTCTACACTACTCAACTACGAAACCTCAAGAAAGCAGTCGACCGTTCGGCCCTGAAAGACAAGAAAGTGTACTATCAACATGATAACGCTCGCCCACATGTTTCGAAACAAGTGAAGCAGGAGCTGATGGGATATGGATGGAATGTTCTCCCTCACCCCCCGTATTCTCCTGATCTTGCTCCTTCCGACTATTGGTTATTTGGCGATATGACACGTGCCTTCGAAGGAAGAAGCTTCAATTCCCGTGGAGCGGTCGAAGCGGCACTCAAACAATACTTTGCCTCACGCCCGGCTGGATTCTACCGCAATGGAATCCATAAATTGAGGGAACGTTGGAGACATGTTGTTGATAATGATGGACAATATAATTAATTATTCGGTTATTTTTTCTTTGAGAAATAAACTATTGAAAAAGTGACAAAGACTTTCCCGCCAACCTAATATATTAGGTTGTTCGGAAAGTCCTTTTTAGCGTCAGATTCATTCGATATAAAAAAGGTCAAAACGATGTCAGATAAATTGAAAATAATGACCATTGTTATCAGTGACTATCTGCCAACGTCCCACCAAATTGTGGATGCCTTCCTTCCAGAACTCCGGTCACAGCGCATTGAAAATCAGGTCAACCCATTTCTGACATCATGCTTTGAAGTGAATTTTTTTCAATCAAGATGTCGGTAGAAATGGCTGGATAGGGGGTAGTCAGACAGTACAAGGTTTGGACTATACTGTAGATAAGACAGAACTGTTTAGCCGTATCCAGTGAGATCGGTCTCCGTTCTCCTTCCCGCACGAGGTTGCGAATTTCGATTTTGAAAATAAACCTTTGTGTTTCTCTCCAATGGAGATTCACATGGAGTCTGAGTTATGTCACCTGACAAAAATAGGTATCGGTCATAAAAGTGACACCTTTATCTGGCAGCTCCCAATACTCCACTCCTTGGTAGACATCCATGCCGAAAACATCCCATTTTTAACGTTAATTTCACGTTTCGGGACGTCTGGCGGTTGAGTGCCTTTGTCAACCCACTTGGATTGTGTTTATAGTAATCATACATTACCCATTTATCACCACTAGTAATAATTGAACTTCAACATTCATGTGTGCAACGCAGGATGAGAAGATTCAAACAGGTGCCCACACATGAAACAAAGTTGCTTTGAGCGAAAAGGTGTGATCCATATCTTCCCACTTTTTTTTTACGTTGCCGAGAGTTCCCAATTTATGGCTTTTTGACGAAAGGCTTGCCACTGATGTACTTGATATATCCCGCGCAGTTTGAGACGGGTCCCTTTCAATCCCGGTTTTAAATGCGTCCAAATCTGAGCCCGTATGCTTTTTTGGAGGGGGATTTTCGTCCAACGAGAATTTTCGTTTTTCAAAATGAATCCAGGTTGTGAAATTTGTTCGAAAGGGTGCATCTTCGTTGTTAACCTCCACAAATTGGTGATTGATTTCAGTTGATCTGAGGTCAGATAGAAATACAAATAAAATGGTAGTCCAAAAATGGAAATTATTAGAGGCGAAAACGATGGGCATATCTCACTGCACGAAAAGAGGAGAATGATCTCCGTTGGGGTGTAGACACTAATAGACCTCACCAGCATACTGATAAAACGACATCTTTCTCGCTTTTATTCCCTTCAAGAAAACGAAGTTTGAAAACAACATATCAAAAGTGGAAAGGACTTTCCGAACAACCTAATAAAATTCGATTTTCGGAATCCGGAATACAGAATCTGAAACGAAAAAACGCACAGAATTCGAAATTAGGGCATCTGTCCGACAACGATGAATCGCTTTTTGATAGAACCTTGCAGTTTTCTGTTCATATACATTAAAACTAATTAAAAAAGATGTTCATATTGGTTCATAATCATGTTAATTAATTTATTCAAATTCAAGTCAGTAATCCATCACAATAATTTCCGCGGATCCTCTCTCTTGTTTCTCCGGAGTCATTGTGCGGAAAGATCGCTGATGATGCTCATTCTCCAAGGTTACTTGGCTTTTGCTAAAATTATTTATTTTTTAAGAATTTCCGAAAACTCCCACCAAGATCGTTTCAAAAAGACAAAGAAGCAGAACAGATTGAAGGCGATGTGAAAAAGAAGTAGAACTCCTAACACAATTTCCAAGAAGACATCTGGAAATGAACATTAATTAACGGCTTCGTTTAGTCAAATAACACTTTTGAGCATCAGTTCAGGCACCGGAAAAGATCCATCAATTGTATAAACGAATCCTATAATTGTGAGCGTAGTCAGGATGATTGTTATTGCTGAGAAAGCGGTCAAAACGATGAATATCGAACGGACCGACTTGAAAATGAGCACAAATGCGAGTAGACCAACGAAAATCTTTAAATGAAAGTAAACTTTTTTCATTTTTCCTTATGGGTAACTTACGAAGAGAACTCCAAAACATTGAGTCACAACTGAAGGAATCTCACCAGGCCTGAAAAATACATTTTATCTCTCATCTCATAATATGTAGGTCTCTTACTTCATGAAAATAGTGGCGAAAAGTAGGAAGATACCAATAAAAATATTCCATCCACAATAAGCACATTCTGGGAAGATTCCAAATCGGTCTGCTTCAGGGTTCGCCGTGCGAAACGAAAGTGGTTCTTCAGAGATCATCTCAGCCGCCTGGCTCACAGTTTTCCTCCCACTTTCCGAACATGAATTTGAATCGCTTTTCATCGATTTAGTAGTACTCATATTTCGCCGAAACTAATTGCAAAGGAAAGAAAAAATGATGACAAAATTAATTCAGAACAAGTTTAGTTTATTTTTTGAAGAAATAAAACAAGCGGAAAAAATCAAAGAAAGTTCAAGTTGAAAATCTTAAGAGATTCACATAATCATCTCTTTGTAGTCTTGATAGGAAACGAGTCGACGAGATTTTGGGATGAAGAAAATTTTCCAAAGCGGTTGTTCTTGACAGTTCATATACTTCCTCCAGCGATTCTTAACTGTGATCCAGTTGAATGGTTTGCGAGATTCTACATCCGACTTTTGGAACTAAAATTGAGAAATGTAATGAAATCAGACTACCGTAGTTTTTCTTATAGAAGCTCTTCCAAACCGTTAACTTTGAGCTCAGTATTTTATTAGTTGACAATTTTCAGTAATCAAGATAATTGAGCTCAAGGTTGCCTTTTTGGGTAAGCTTCTATCAGAGGGAATACGGTAGATTAGAGTGCTGACCATTCTCATTGCCATTGTCATTCCACATGAGATAATCCAAGTGTAGACACCAACAAAACCCCACATTATCCAATGAAGCATCACGAACAAGAAACAACAGAACTTTATAAGAGTATCTTCTCCTAAATTGGATTTTTGTATATGAATAAAAACATATTTACCATACTTGTAACGGGCGAGCCGCGCCGGCGGGCCCGTCATTTCACAATTTTTCAAATGTTCAAAAAACACGTAAGGGGGGACCCTTATGTGATTTTTTTCGAGTTTTTAAAATCTTTTTTTGACCAAACAGACAAACAATCCAAAAAAACAAAAAAATGGAGAAAATTTAATAGTGGGCTCAAAATTTGGCTCAAAAATACAGGTTTTTTATACCGGGTCTCCGGGCCGGGCCCGGGCCTTGAAAATTTCCTCAGGCCCGGAATTTTACAAGTATGATATTTACATACTTCCATAAGATCGATAGATCAGAAAATACAATCTATTGAAACAATATGGGCGCCAGCACATTTCTTTTGGAATATCCATTATCTCTTTTCGTGTCTGGAAAACAATGATTTCCGTATGTAACAAAATAGGTTTTTTTTTCATTTTTTTGATAACTCACTTCGATCCATTGAAGCCAAAAAGTTGGGGCCAACAAAAAAAACAGTCCAGTTCCAATGAGAAGATAAAAGAGAAACAAGAAGAAATGGCTTTGATTGTGTGCTCCAACGCATTGACCAATATGTGGACAGTGATGATCCATACGGTAGATACATTGATCACAAGCCTTGCAATGCGATGTTGATGGTCCTTTCCAATTGTTGCAGCTAATGCAAAACTTGTCGCTGGGAGTCTGAAAAAAAATTTTTTTTGTTTTTTTATTTAAAAAAAAAACGAACCCCTGGGTTGATGACGGGTTTCAAAGTTCGAGCCTTGTAGTAATGAAAAACGAGACTGTAGTAGACATATAGGAACAAAACGATTCGGAAGACAAAGAACGGAACATTTTCACATACACTAAAAAGTTTTTAACTGAAGAAAGTTTATTTAAAAAAAGGCGAGACAGCAAAAGTTTCGGGGACAGTTCGGGGGACGAAATCGCGCCGCGCTTCTGTAGACCATCGGTCGTCAGGCGCCTTCGCGCCCCCGTAGCTCAGCCGGTAGCGGCGCTGTACCCCTGAGCTGCCTGTCATGAGTTCAACCCCTCATGGGGGTTCTCTATGCAAAATATCAGGAAAACTTTTTTTTTGGTGTCTGGCCTCCTTTAAAAAATTATGAACCTCCATTCTAGTGGTATAATCCGCATGAAGATAACATGAGAAACTGCATAGAGAGCAGCAATGAATATGAAAAGACATATCTGCAAAAACTACCGACATTTAATTTTTTATAACTAGCGACCCACTCTTCCTCCCCACAAAGCAATGATTTTAAGGAGAACAAACGGATCGAACTTCTTGACATCACCTAACGATTTCTCGACCAAAAAGTACACTGAAATTTGTTTGAATTTAAGAATTTCCAGATAACTAGCTGACCGAATCTATTGAATAGTCTGCACACATCCATCTTCAGAATCAACGGACTGAAGAACACTTTTCGATATCCAGTGTGGAAAGATGTGTTCCGTGGAAAGTGACCGTTACTGTGTGTCGGGTGAGTTTGGGTAAGTTTCTTTTTTTTTTTGGAAAATAGACGAATCCACGTTCCACGTAGAGCAATTGAAAGCTGAAGATGACACCATTAACAGAAGTGGTTTCTCGACAAAAAAAAATTGGGTCAAAGTGGACGAGTAGGGGAACCTTTTTAATATCTTTTGCGATATTATTCTGGTACAAAAAATTGAAGATATGGTAGAGAAATACCGGTGGCCATGGCCGAAGGTCCCACAGCGACAACTACCGTAACCTAAAAATATGTTTATTTTCCGGATTTATTTTCTTGTTTTTCACTGTTTTCCGCCCAGCATTATTAACGCAAGTAAAACCGTTGCTCTTACAGTAGGTAAATGCAAAAAATCTATGAACTACTTCATTGAAGATCAATCTATTAAAAAAGAGACAATAACCCGTGACTTGGGATTTCTAGTATCTGAAAAAATGGATTTTTCTGAGCACTGGAGACAAGAAACTAACAAGGCTAAATTTATCCTGTCACAAGTTTTCCAGCAGTTTAATATAGTAAGAACACCCGATTAATGGTTCTTTTATACAACGTTTTTATAAGGCCTGTACTCGAATATGGTACGGTAATCAGTAGTCCCTTCAAAATATCAGATATTAAATCAATAGAATCAGTGCAAAACTCTTTCACAAGAAGACTGTATAGTCGTTAACTAGGAAGATATGTTAACCCAAACGATAGGAAATATTAATCTGCGAGCGAGCGCAACCTACTCTTTGGTCTTAATTCACTACCAAGGCTGTGCAAAAAGGCGGCTGGCCGCGGCCGGCCTCAGCCGCGGCTGGCCGCGGCTTTAATCATTACACTCTAGACGCTTAGCAATAGACAGGAAAATGGTATCAAAAATGATATCGGAAAAAATAGGTCTTAACGTAACTGAATTTTTCGCGTCAACTGAAACACGTACTAGAAGAAAAACACGATTTCTCTGGCCCATTCCTAAATCTAAACTAACTGTAAGGCGAAACTTCTTTGTCAACCGCACTCTGACTAGGGAAGGCCCCAACTCGGGTGTGGCGATACGGGTGGTGACCTATATCATCTGAATGCTGACATTTTCCTGATTCCAAATCTGTTTTCAAAAAGTGCATTGTCGCAGTAGTTTTCGAGAAAATTGGGTCGAAAGTTTCGAAAAATGACGTGGATTTTTAGTCTCATTTTCCTTCCTCACGTATATATGTTTTGAAGCTTTGAAAGAATGTGGAAGCTTCCAAGCATGCTTCATATTCTTCCTCACTAACCATTCGACCACCCTTCTTTTTTATTCTGTAAGTGTGTATGTGTTGATGGTTATGTGCTATTATTTAAATAGTGTTATTATTCCACTTTAATAGCATGTTTTGTCTAGTTATTCGTGTATTTGTATTTTGTGTGATTGTATTGTATTCCTTTTCTCTTTTTTTCCACGACGGAAGGTCGTAATAAATAAATAAATAAATAATTTTCCGACTTGTTTGGAGAACGAAAATCAGTAAGAAACCAAAATAAATTCGGAAAAAAAAATTATGTTAGGTTACGGTAGTGGTCGTTGTGGGAAGTTTGGCCACGGCTCCCGTTTCTCTTCCACAGCTTCTGATTTTTTTGCACCAGAATAATAAACAAAATGACTTTAAATTTTAATTTTTTAAACAATTTTAAAACTGACAAAAATTTATATATAAAACACTTTTTATTGAATTTAGATCAGATCACAGAAAAACACATTAATTAAAATTTAAACTTCTAACAGTTCAATCTGATGAAACAAAGAGAACTCTGATGATGGGATCATTGCGACGAACTGCTAGATATTGGTTCCACCTCTTGCGGATGATTGAAAATGACATAGGCTTCGCTCCCTCCTTTTGTAGCTAAAAAATTTCAAAAATACACATTTTAAAACAAAAAATCATCTCACCAATGAATCGATGATTGAGAATCCACCAGAAACGAGAAAAACGTAGGTGACAATAAAAGAAATCATGATAAGATGAAGAGAAATTGTAATCGAAACAGTGAATATAGAATATTTCATGCTGTCTGAATTCAGCAATTTCGAATCGTATCCTTCCATAAAAGTTTTCCAATTTTCCACCCAAAACTCAAATTCCACATAGAGAACCAATACGGTAGATAGAAAAACATTGAAAAGAAAAAGGAAGAAGTTTGCTTGATTATGAATTCCAATGCACTGTCCCAACCATGGACAATGATGATCTCTTCTGTAGATACACGTGTCACATGTACGACAATGACTGGTTAGACTGGGTTTTGATGTTGAACAAAATGTGCAGTTACGTCCAGTCGAGGTTTTCTGAAATTTCTCGAATTTTTCTGAAAACTTTTGATATTAAAATAGAGCATTTTTCGAATTAAATTTCTTCAATCAGTACAAGTTAAGTCTGTTATTAGACAAATACAATGTTGGGACAATAAGTATGACATACTTTGAATACCAGGACTCGCCCCATTTGAAAAAAAAATCAGAAGTTTCAGAAATTTTCCGATTTTTTTTGGGAAAAGTGTTTTTTATGACACTCCGTTTTTTTCAATCATTTTATTTAGCAGAATACTTTAAAAACTTATTATTTAACTCCGAAAAGTTTGTGAAAAGACAGATCGGGCCTAAAATTCTGGAAAAAAAGACCGACCCGGACTGTTGGAAGTATAAAATATCAAACACTACTTAACACCTGAACTATTTACCTTCGGCAAAGAAACCGGTTTAGCTTGTCTTGCTTTCCAAAAATGGTACGGTACACTGTAGGTCAACCATAAACCAATGAAAAGACGAATGCAAAAGTAAGGGAAGAAATCAATGCGTTGGTATTCAAAAGGAAGTTGAACAGTGAAGAAGAAAATGACGATCCAGGCAGTTTTAACGATTGCAATTGTGACACATATCTGAAAATTCGGATAAGGCTTATCGTAAAAGGTGTTCCATCAGATATACTTTGTCTAGAATCTTCATTAAAACCGGCCCATCAGTAATTGATTCGTCATTTCCCACTAATCTGGATCCGAACCGAAGAACTCCAAAAACTTAAAATATCTTTATTTTTCTTGATTTGTGTCATTGGAATACTTACAACAACGATTTATACCTCTACAAATATTCATTACAGTAATACTTATAATCTATATCTTCCCCCTTTCCCTTATAAATTCCACATTTTTTCATGCTGGCTGGATTTTTTTCTCGATAACCCAATAAGGTCACACTTGCTAACATAGATTTTTCGAGTTCAGATAACAGGAATAACTCCCTCCCAATTTGTTTATTCTGACGAAACCCACTACTACGACTACTATAACCAAACAAAATTGTAGTTTTTTCTCTATTTTCTGATCGTGTCAAAATCACAAACAAGCATACAATAGTGCCATAATTGGAGTCGTCGTGTTGGTAGTGGTCAGTGTCTGAAAAAAAGAAGGCACCAAGGATAGAGGCGCCTCTAACCAAATTGGGTCAAATTCGCGTCTTTTGTTGTCGACTGAATATAAAACTTTCTTTAATAAAATCAGCCGAAAATTGAGGAACGAGAGAGCAAAGGAATTGTTGTTGGAGTTTCAGAAGTCAAACTGAATAAACAATTTTTGGTTCCTAGAGTTTTTGGAACAGGAATGAGATTAAAGAAACAGTTAGGACTTTCTCAATATCTCAACTTCAGAATTTCTTGAACTCTGAATTTTCCAAATTCTGAAAATCGGGATTTGTCATATTCCAGAATTTCGGAAATTTCTAACATTTTTTTTTCTGAATATAGAAACGAAATTTTTAAACTTCCGAATTTCCAAATTCTTTTATCTCAGAACTATTATTCCCAAAATTTTGAGTATCTTAATTTTTGAAACTTGAAATTTCGAATTGGTCGAATTTCTGAATATCCGAATTAGGAATTTCTAAAACTGTGAATGTTAAATTTCCCAATCTTCCGTAGACCCTGAAAAAGGTCCCTGACGAAGTGACAAATTCTCTTTGTAAAATGACGGGTACTGTAAACGGAAGCCAGGAGGTTAAGGGAACAACTGGTGAGAAAATTGAAATCCATTGAAAACCAAAAATAATCAGAACAAATTTCTTCACTGTGCATGGATCGGGTAAGAAGTGACCCTAAAGTAACTTCATCAAAAAATGACAATTTGAAAGTGGAGCAGGCAAAAAAGTGTGAAAGATGATATGCTTTGTGCCAAGGTGTGGGAAAATTGATAAAGTGCTATAATGAGTGATAGGTGATCCGAAAAGCAGCGCCGACTCTCACCTGCGGTTTTTGTGCCTGATGACATTCTAAAAGATAGAGACAGAGAGATAGAGAGATCCGCCCGCCGGCTCCCTTGAGCACTCATTTTTATTGTTCCAGAGACAGAGAGAAAGAGAAAAAGAAGAGAAGGGAATGACTACTACTTTTTCTTCTTCCCGCCCTCCTCCTCTACTACTAACATCTTTTTCCCGTTCCCTTTTCGCTTACTTTTTTCCTGGATTCAATGTTCTCACTTTGAGAATTCAGGTTCCCAACATTTTCCATTTCGTTATTCTCGGTTTCTTTTTTATCACCGGTAGTAACTATTAACCCAAAAACTTCACACCCTTTCAGAACTTCGGTACTTAAACTTCCTCAAAATCCAAATCATCATCTCAAAAGTTTTGAAAAAATTCGGGATGATACTTTTATAATTTTTTGGAATTCCCCACATTCCTATTTTCCTATAGAATATTCTTTTTGACAAAGTTTTTTCAATGTCCATCTTATCAATTTGGGCAGATTTTTGAATTTTTCCATCTTTAGACCAGAGACACTTGTTACCAATAAGAGGTTGGAAACTATTTTAAAAATTACTTCCAGAACAAAATTTAACTTTTTTGTTAAAAAATTGCTGTAATACTATGAATTCATTTATAAAAACTAAAATGAACATATAAATATGCATGGTTTTTGAGATTGCCGGAAAAGTGAATACAGCAGAACCTAAAAGCACGGCGATTTTTCCGGATTTTTCGACCTATTTGTAACTTTTATGAGTGATGCAGGCACAAAACTATAAGACTCGGCAGTTTAATTTAAAGTTTTTGCATCGAGACCAACAAAAATTGATTTACTATAGTAAAACCTCAAAAATAAACTTTTATCAGAGGTTTTGCGTTAGAGTTTTTGTTAAATTCTAAGTCACTTTTAGAAAAAACGAAAGAGGAGAAATTGGGAGATAGTTAAGTCAAGTTTCAGCTGTAAAAATAAATCGAGAACCTGCTTGCTGTTTCCAGAAATAGACCCTTTTTGAGATTTTTTTTTTGTCTTTGGCAGCTTAAATCAAAATGACCGATTTTCAGAAATTAAAAACTTCTTGCTTTAGATGATCGTTATGATTTTACGGCTTGCATTGGGTTTTCAAATTTTGGACTGATAGAACTTTTGTTTGGATTGGATCTAGTAAAAAGAAAAGTATTCGAACTTATCCTATCTAAAGTATCTGAACATCTAAGCTTCCCGAAAATCAGTCGTAATCCACAATGCAGCTCCGAAGTCTGACTGTTTTTCCAAATCTTACTATCCATCTCCATTTGCTTTCATTCTCTCTCTTCATCTTTCTTCTCCTCGTTATTCTTCCTTTCCTTTCACTTTTCGCTTCTGTTTGAGCTTCCGGAAAAAGATCATAATCGGTCCGTCGTAGTCGTCGTCGTTGTCTTTTTGCCTGTCTACTGCCCCGCCCGTCTTCCTCTTCTCCTTCTTATTCCTCGTTTTCTGCCTTTTTCTTGTGCTTTTCGGATTGAATTTCAATTGCGTGTTTGCCCCGGCAACTCATCTCTCCGCCCCCAAACAGCGACCCTATTTTTTTTGTTTGCAAACAGACAACAACTGACAGAAACACCCAACTAAATAAATCAGTTTCACACTCTTTGTTAACTTTTGAAGTTTGAAAAAATGGATTTTGTTCGAATTCGTACCGTACACCGCTCTCCTCTTGGAGTACAGTAATCCAGAACTTTCTACTAACTTCGTTATACAATAGAAATACGTTCTCTGTCAACATATATGATGATCCTCTTGTTTATACAAAAGTTCGATTAGTTGAAAGAAATATTTATATCTTGCCTACTGTCTTGATTATTTTGAGACTTCAATGTTCACTCCGTTTCTCAAATTCCGAAATCTTTGAAAAAACTAGACAACAACTGCTCCGATATTCTCAACACAAGTTATCCATGTTCTTTTTTCTACATTTTCTTCTTTTTTTTCCTCTTTGCCATCTCATCTTTCTCTTGTAATTCTAGATTTCCCTATGTTTTATGAGAACATTGTCTCTTTTCTTTTATTTTTACCTTGAGTCAACTGATCATAATACATCGGGCTGTTTTGAACTGTTTCATTGTTCTTGACAGTAAATTTCAATTTTCGTTTCCAAACAAATGTTATCATACAGAAGTAAGACCGACTCCAACTAAACATTTTTATTGCACCAAAATGTTTGCAATGTTATGTATTTTCATAATATTCTTATGCATAAATTAAAAAAATTATTTTTAAAAAGCAGAAAAACCGAAAACATTGACACGGATGAAAGGCTTTCCACGGCCATGACCTAGGTTTCTCAATGCGCTGGAACTCGAATACTTGGCAAAATTACTAACAATGATAGTAAAAGATTCGAGTTAAGATACAAACGGAAATGTTTCCAAAATCTCAAATCGAAGCCATTGTTTTTTGAAACCGACATTTTCTACGATTCTCAAATCACCGTAAAGCCAAAAATAGCTCAAAAAATGCCAAAGTTGCTCAATTGGACTAATCACATTTGTTTCTGTGATTCCACTCATCAAATCTCAAAAGTGTGTGCTGCATCCTGAAAACTTCTTCTTCTTTCCAAAAGAAGAACAATAGACAGAGAGGTTTTGTGACTGGTAGAGGAAGAAGAGGACATAACAATAATTTTCCGGTTCATCAATTTTATGTGTGCTGTATTCTAGAAGGTCCTTCTCAAAACTAGTGCATCTGAATGTGTGTTTGTTGCTTTCCTTGGTCTAAAATAAGCCAAAGGAAA